ATGGGGTTATTAAGCAATCACTGCTGTACGAGCTCATTATTAGAAGTCGCACTTCGGAGCCGGAGACACAAAGAGGGACAAACTGTTTCTCTTTCAGCAGGAGACTTACCCGGAAAGGAGAAGTCAGGGTGTTGATTATTGAAATCAGGATGATCAGATTGTGTGCTATTCCCTGTGGTTGGGGTCCCATTCCCTACCCCACCCCCCCAAGCCACTGCTTTTCCCATGGAGTCCATCATCTCTTCTCTCCCCAGCGAAGCCAGCCTAATACACGTGTGCCGGGCTAGTGCTGGAAGGGAGGGTCAGCTTTACCCTGACATAATCACTCTTTTATGGCTTTCACTCATTCCTGAGGTGTTAATGCAGATCAAATGGGAAACACTCGGGAAAGAGCGCTTGCAGCTACTGCCCAGCCTAGTCGTCCCGTCTCAATCGTTAATTCTGATTGTAAGATCTAAAGGTAATTTTGTTTGCTCTCTTAATGCGTTGTAGTTCTCCCAGTGGCCCCTGCATATCCTTTCTCAAATTCCCATCTTGATCAATTGTTTGCAAATAATTAAGCTTTTAAGAGATAATGGCATGAGGCTAATGTACACAACAAAGGCGAGGTCTCTTGTCACTACCTATTGGACTGTGGTCAAATTTGCTTTGATATCCCAAAGTGATTAGGTTGATTGGTGTAGCTGGCAAGTGCAACCCATCTTCCCTTCATAAGAACCTCCTGATCTTCCTTAAACGGGTGTCCTTGCCATTAATAGCAAAGGTGTGTTCAGGAAACCGGCAAGGGGTGACCCAGGCTCTTGGTTGCAATGGTTTGGAAGGAATTTCCCATTCTCTTCCTAAAATGGCACATCTCTTTATCTCTTTTGTAAAATGATGTCTACCTTTTCCCCTCTAACGGCCTCACCAGCCCTGTGGGCATAACACAACAGGATTTCGAATGTTTTTACAGCAGTCTTGCTCGTGGCATGTTGGGTTTTTGTCAAGCCGGGTTTTTTTTAAGTCTACAAAGGAATAACTCATACTGTCCACAAAAAGCTTATTTAGGAAAGATGCATAGGATTTAAGATATTTAAAGATACTGGATTTCAGTTAAAAGCTTGCTTCTTTGTGAATTTTTGCCTAACTGTGGATTAGCTACCTGAAGTCACAGCTTTCATGTGATTCTAGCAATTATGGGTTTGTGTTTTTTTGTTTTGTTTTGTTTTGTTTTTTTCAGGAAATTAAAAGTTTGTGGGACATGCAGGCCAAGAACTATGAGAAAAAGAAAAAATTCCATCTCCCTGCCATAGACAAGGGTTTAGGGAATTTTGTTGACACCTTTCCCTCCACCCCCTTAACAATGACCAGATTATTGTGACATTTAATTTCATCCAGGCTCATTCATTTCTATTAAAAAAAATATATCCTGAATGACTGAAAATTGTTTAATGGAGACAGAGTGCTGGGTCTCCATAGCTTGAGGCTGCCTAGCAATTATGCTGCATGAAATTAGACACAGTTTGTTCCAATTACTTAAAATCAGATCACATGAAAAGTGACAGGAAAAAAAGGCTAGAACTTTCTCATTTTATGATATTTAAATTATGAAATCAGAAACTGCATGATGTGAAGAAACAACCTAAATTTGCGCTGAAATTTTGAGGGCCATCGATTGCTCTTTGAAGCTGTAATGATTCAGGTAATTTTAATGATCCAGAGAGAATTTTCCTGACACCACCTGCATAAATAAAATGTGAGTTCCATTTGCTTTGTAAGAATGGTTGTAAAACTTACTCACAAACAGGCATGCAAAAATACTCTTGAAAACACAGCACAAATAAATGACTGTGACCATTCTCAATTTTCAAAGTAACTAAAGGTAAATGGCATAAATATTAATTTTTATCCAGTTCTGGTCATCATATTAAGACACAACTAACAAGACCGGGCAAAAGGTATTGCCATCCAGCTATAGTGAAGTGAGACTGTTGACATATTTATTAACTCTATTGAACATCGCTGAGTTTTCCACAGGACCTGAAAAACCATAAGCAAATTACAGAAGACGTTACAGATTGGAAACGACTTGTGTACATGGGTCTACAACTTTATATGACAAGGAGTGCCAACAGCTTGGATGCTAAAATTTGTGTTTTTCAAAATCAGGCTTATAATGTGTAAGAATTGCAAGCCCGGGTAACCTTAACTTTGATGGATCTTAAACTCCAGGTGACAAAATTGAGGATTAGAAAAGTTGTCCCTTGTTTGAAAGCTCATAATTAGTGAGTGGCAGCATAATTTATACAATCTAATAGGGCCGTGTATACCTTATATACAATTCTTCAACTAGTGTAGACATAGAACTTCTATATATCAAACCCTAATTCGGTATCTGTTCATAGGATAAGAGGTTCATGTGGTTTGTATTGTGCGGCTGGAGCTATATTTTAAACCTTAGGGTAGAGAACTGCTTTTAGCTTAGTATCAAGGCATGAGATTTTCCTAGGATGACTGGCATTATGTTGAGTAGGGTGATTGTCACCTATGATCTTAGCCTATTATGAAGTTTATATACTGTTACTTGACATCACTGTTAGGAATGAAGTCAGGAAAGTAGCATTGTGGATCTCAAATTGGATTGTTTATCCCTCCTGTGGGCTGTTGAAAACATTCTTATTATACATTTTGATGTTGCACCTGAGTGGAGAATATCTGTGTATCGTGGCAGGACGTAGCCTCCTTGTTTCACAGATATTTACTGACCTCCCATTATGTGCCAGGCTGGGCTTTGACAATGGTGAATGCGAAAGTCATGACTTTGGAGTTGCTAGGTGTGTGAGAGGAGACACACCCAACAGGACCCAAATCATCAGAGCAGGTGTTTCAGAGAGCGATGCTTTGCCATTAGGGAAGAAGGGAAAGCCTGACGTGAGAACAGTAAGATGGGCTGGTGGACACTGGGTGGGTGAGGTTTGGCCTTTGGGCTGAGATGAGAAAGTGACCCTGGAGCAGGAGCCTGAGTGGTAGGGATAAGGTTGGTGTGTTGGAAGAACAGAAAGGAGGACTGTGTGGCTGGACAGAGAGGTGGGGCGGGGTGTGAAGAAAAGGCCACCCGGTCTGAGTGGTGGGCAGAGCTGGATGGTGGCATGCCTTGCAGGCCATAGTAAGCAGTCTGGAGGTTTTGGAGCGGGCATAAGAATGAAGATTCTGGGCGCCTGGGTGGCTCAGTGGTTAAGCGACTGACTTCGGCTCAGGGCATGATCCCGGAGTCCCGGGATCGAGTCCCACACTGGGCTCCCTGCTCAGTAGGGAGTCTGCTTCTCCCTTTGACCCTCTCCCCTCTCATGCGCTCTCTCACTCTCTCTCTCTCAAATAAATAAATAAAATCTTAAAAAAAAAAAAGAAAAGATTCTGAGAGGCATTTGCCACATCCCTCAGTCATGGTGAGACTTAGACACTGGAAGGGAAGCAGGAAATATCACCGAGTTGTGTGGCTGCTGACCGTGTCTTTCCCTGGCCAGTTTCCTCACCTGGAAGACAGGAGGGACAATAGATTCCATTTAGTCCCTCAAAGGGATATAATGGGGATTAATCACCATCCTGTCTGTAATATACTTGGAGCTCTTTAGAGAAAGGCGTTACATCCCATGAAAGCAAAGCCTTATTCTAATTGTGTATTTATTGATTAAGTGACAATCAAAGACAATGCTTATGGGAAAAATTGCTAATATCTCTGCTCTCCACAAACGAATCCCACGTGTACAGATATAGAACATATTTAAACTTACATATAAGAGCATTAAAGTGGTCATTAACGAGCCTTCTTAGCATCTAATCAGACATTATTAATGAGATTAAAAGCTATGTTAATTAACATTCAATAGACCAGAATTTAGTTTCCAATGGCACAGATAGTTAAATTGAGAGTTGAGGGTGCCCTTTCTTATTCATAAGGGAATAGAGCGTTGACTAGCAGAACAATTTTTATGTTGGGAGAATTTCTTGGGATGCAGAGTTTCAAGCTGGTCAGTGTGTCCATAGATGGATACCATGTCCCGCTTCAGAAACATGTATTTCAGATTTAGATATAGTTCATTACTGAACAAAAAGTATTTGTGCCAAAACTAATTTCAGCAGAATTCCAAACATTCTTTCAAGAGGGTATGAATTTCATTTCATTATCTAATCCTGTATACTTTTTTATCCACTCTAACTCATGAGGAACATGGCCGGGCTTGTTCTTAGCATGCAAAATATGCTGGTCTTTGACCTTGTATTGGCCTGTGTTCCGAATCCCAGCATGTGTTGACATTCAGATATGGAAACCAACTTTGGTTGAATGTCATTTGTTTGCATTTCAGAAGAGTTACAATGATTAGTGGTTAAAAAAAAATACACCCACTTTAATTTTGATATTTGCATCTGGCAATATGGTGTTTTGGAGGGAAAGATGTCATGCTAGCAAAGTGCTTAACTACTGGGGACCTCAGCTAAGGTGGTTGGTCCAAATGGTTCAGCTTTAGAAGCCCGTGGTTCTGAAATATGAAAATATTATGTCAAGGTGATACGTTTTCATATCATCAAAAAGGGCTTGTCCTTATTTTAATCCTATAAAATACAGTGAAAATCATACTAAACTTTCTGTGTTTGCAACAAATAAACCTTTAAAGGATAAATTCAGTATCAAGGTTCTGCAAGTATCCTAAGTAGCTATTTATACACTTCACTAATCTTTGTAATTGGCTTGTCTTTTACTGCCATTAATTAGATGATGTAGTATTCCATTAATAAGAGTGACACACCTCAGCATTTTTACCTTTAATTATAGACTTTGCTAGACACTTAGGCTATTGACAAAATAGCCTAAATATTGCCTGATACACACATATTTTTTTTTTTTTACAGAGCATATGTGTTTATTATTGAATCCCTAGCCCCTAGCATTGCACCTGACATGTGATATGCACTATCTGCCCAAAGTATATGTGCACACATCTATCTTTTTTGTTCTCTTTCAGCACCCTTACCCTTCTGAAGAACAGAAAAAGCAGTTGGCACAAGACACGGGACTCACCATCCTACAAGTGAACAATTGGTAAGTAATTTGGTTTTGTGTTTACACACAATCTGTTTCCCCCTCTGGCAACCTGCAGCTAATGTTTTGCATTAAGAAGACACACCCAGTTGTTGCTGTTTTCCCTGGTGGCTTGTGGATCCAAAGGTGAAAGTAAATGGTTGACTGATGGGTGCGAGCACTTGCTAGCTTGGGAGACACACACACACACACACACACACACACACACCCCAACATTGCATTGTTTTCCATTGCCTTTAAAATTGACAAATTTTAGGCATAGTATAAATAAGTGTTTAATTCATGTTCACTGTGGCTCCATAAATGGCTCCCCCCCTCTTTAGGATAATCGATAGAAAGAGTGGTATCATCCTGTTTTCTATGGAACAAGAAAATCCACCATCACATATCAGTCAGGTTTTACATTCAGTGAATAACTAACTGCAGTTATTTTGTTAGGGCTGAGCATTCGAGGGTAGTCTCCCATTTCCTCCTATGTTCCGTCCATGGAAAAAGAGAAATTATTTATGTTTCCACTCTGAAGCTATTCAAAACCTGCTGTATCTCCGGGCTGTGCAATATTGTTTCTAAATAAATGTGTGAATTCCTGATTTGGGGGAAGCTGAGATTCCGTACCAAATACCAGCCAACGATATTCTGACAATGTATGGTGGTATGGCCACGAGGCTTTGGGAAAGTATGATTTAGTACCCTTTGTGAGTGTGCTGAAAGCCAGGTTCATATAATCACCCAGACCTAGTGTCATATTTGAAGGGTATCGAAATCCAATATCCTCTCAAACTAAGTGTATCTAATTAATTGTCCTAATATTTTTAGATTAGTGTTTATGATGGGGAAACCTTATCCTCTTTGAAGTAAAATCCAGAGAAGGCCCACAGCCTGGTTGGGGAAAGGGGAGAACTGGGAATGCCAGTTTGCAGACAGAAGTATTTCTTTCTGTTCAATAAGTGTCAAAGATTAATATTACAGAATCTCTGATTACATGGCCTAATCCATTTTGGTGAATAAATTTGTTCTTGATGTCCATTGCACCTACATTAACAGACCCTTCTCTGTTAGAGAGCCTGGGAGCCTTTGGGAGACATTCCAGATATATTAAACCCCATTACAGAAAATGTAATTTCTGTCAATATAATCCCATGTATTCTTCAATTTAGTATTTTAGAGATAACAAGCTACTTACAATATATTTGCCTTTGGAGGATTAATTTACAAAGTGCACTATCTGCAAGACACAGACAGACCCACATAAGCATTGCTTGTAAGGGTTATCAATTTCTATGACCTTACCGTAGCCTTGGGAGATCAATTTTTGCAGCCTTTAGTCAAGTGGATAGGGAGCCAAGGGAAGCCATACTATACCTACATGTGTTGCTAGGAGTGTGTCCCTGCTGCGGATTTTTGTTTGCCTATTTGTGCCCTCTATTGTATCTTAATTTCCAAGACTGTTGATACTATATATTTGAACTTAGGCTTCAGGTCCTCCTGGACAATGTTTATAGGGTAGACCATCAATTTTGCATGCACGTCTGAATTCAAATGTATTTTCAAGGTTAAACCGATGATGCAATTTTAACACAACCGAGGCTGTACTAATGTTATTTCCCTGGGAAACGTTCCCATTTGAGGTCCAAGGAGTGGCAGGGCGAACTCTAATTAAGGAAGGCAAAAAGCGCTGCCCCTCAGGTGATCTATCACACGCACCATCTCTCTTCCTCTGCCGTGTCACTAGCAAACTCCCTCTATAGACATTGTTACCAGAGAACAGATCCCAAGACAACTTGCTTTCCACAGGTGGATGAACTTCAGGGCTATTTCCTGTGGCTGCACGGGCAGGCAGGCATTCCTGGGACACCAAACAGTATGCAGTTGTCACTTACCCAGATTCTACTTGGGTGACCATAAAGCAACTTCCTCAGTTTTGCAAGTAGAGGAGGAAAAAGGGACCTTAAAAGAGTCATAATACTTTTCAGAGTTATATGCAGACTTACTCTCCACTTCACATGGATATTCAGTTCCGCACAGGTACATAAATACACGTCACTCTGATTTCTGCGGGCTGTGAACCCAGTCGTGTTCTCCACGGGCCCTGTGTACTGTGCCTGTTTCTCCCTACTTCTCTATGGAGTTAGAAGTGACTTTGGCTTGCACTTCATTGTTTTGTACTTGGCAACTCTTTCAGCTCTAACAACTTTGTGGTAGAGAATTTCCCTCAAGTAAAACAAAGTTGTAAGAGAGAGTGTTTCTCCTAAGTTTGGTGAATAATGACATTCCCGTGTTCGATTTGAGGTTCTAATGGTTTCTTAATTTTCATCCAAACCTTCAACTTTTAAGGAGCTGATAATAGATTTTTTTTTGGCTTTGAGTAGGAAATAGGTTGCAAAAATGGGGAAACCCAGATGGTATTGTATGAAAACCAAAGATGTCAGAGCATCTTCAATTGTGGCATCCTTGAAGACTAAAAGCAGCATAACCACTAAAGGCTTTTCATTTTACTTTACCATAATAAAACATTACACAAAGCTTTCTTGAGAGCTTGTAAACATTTTTTCCTATATTGAGCATCAAGCCCAAGATTCTTCCTTCTGGAAATCATAATTAAAAGAAAATCCTCATTAGTATTTTAACATTTCCCCTTCACTTCATTTAGCCACAACATTAAAAAATGTGTGTCTTCCCTCTTGGATTTCTTAAAACTTGTTAACACACATGTACATTTTGTACGAACTGTGAGTCACTGTTGAAGAGGTTTAATAAAATGCTGAAGGGCAGGTTGGGTGTAGATCAGTCATAATTATTGGCAGCAACATCATGTATCAAAGTACACAATATGAAAGTGAAAAATATAAACTCATGTCTAGTGGTGAGCTTGTCTTAGAAACACTGGCTGATGCAGCTTTAAGTTAGGTTTTGACTGAAACAAAGATGAGCAAAGTTTGGTGTGTTGTAATGGCTCTTTCATCCCATCGCTGAACTGATCTCCCATCTCTCTAATTGCCATGAGTGATACAAACTACCCGCCTTGGCTAGCCCAGGCCAAAGCAGATGGGATGGGGTGGGGGGGGAGGGGCGGGGAGGGGAGAGGAGACAATAGGGAGAATTTAAATGGAAAACAACAAGACAGACTTGATTAATTAAAAGAAAATTTGGATTAAAAGAAATAACTCTTGTAACTCTTATGTTTGATCTACGTGTCAGAATGAAAACAGAGAGGAGGAATCTTAAAATGGTTGCTGTTAGTGCTTATAGGACCTGGGCCTGGGGATGGAATGTGAAATTTATTAGATGAGACATCGTAGGACAAGTCTACGCCAACAAATTTTTTGAGAATTGAGGCAATGATGCAAATAATTTGGGTGAAAATATTTTTACCTTAATTGTAGAAGTATCTGAGGCAACTGCATGTTTTTTAAAAAGTCAACTTCCCTAACTCATTGCATAAACATCTCACTCTAGCATGCTGTGGTAGACCTCGACTTAAAAGCACAGTAATCTTTGAAATATAAGATGTGCTATACATTCATGTATTCTTCTTTCTTTGCTTTCTCCCTCCCAATTATGATTTGATCCCAAAATAAGCAATAATAGCTTTTGGGAATTTTGCCTTTTTGTTTTTCCATTGTTGTTGTGGCTAAGTAATGAAAATTACTTCTATCAGCCGTGAAAACATATTACTACAATGTTGAATGTTTTAGTCATTTAAGCAGAAACTTCCTACATTTTGAGATGGTTATTTAGATCTTTAATCATTTAGGTCGAACTTTAAAGAAAACACACACACACACACAAAGTCAATCTTGGTTCTTTTTTTTCTCCTGAATACACCAGTTTTATTTTTTTATTTGGAAATGTGAGTGTAGAATGGTCTTGCTTCTCTGTTTTCACAGCAGTGTTACAGAGCTGGGACTTCCATATGATGCAGACTTGTGCCTGTGGTTGTATCTTACTTGCTGGATGCCTCAGACAACATTCTGCCTCAGCGGAGTTCTAGCCTAGGGTGTATTGAATAAATTTTACAGTTTCTTTGTTTACTACTACTCATCCAAACACTTTCCCATTAAGGCCTAATGTTAAATGATTATTTCTTTATGCTCTGAGAAAGCAAGATGGATCTTAGTGCAAAATATATAGTGTATGTGAAATGCAGTCTGTATGTAGAAAGAAAAATCACTCTCCATCAGTTGGGTGCATAAAATTCCAGGGAGCATCTTAACATCTGAGGTGACACTTTTTACAGAACTATCACAGCTCTACCATTCTCAGATTCAGTACATACACCAGATTTTCCTAGTTACTTCATTTACTGCCTTCAAAACTGCAAAGCATTCAGGCATCACTTCCCATTTATTACCAGTAGAGGGGGAGGGGAGGGAAGTATGTTATCCTTAGAGATTTATGCCACTGGCAGGTAAAAATGTAAACTTATTTTTAAAAAAATAGGATCTCCCTTATAATAAACAGATTCAACTGTTAAAGGTCAGGTTTCTTTCTGAGTTATGGTAATAATGTAGCAAATACTTTTATAAGTAATCAAAGATTCTATAAATATAGGTACCTGTGTCGATGTAAATGTTAAAACATTCACAAATTATCCTTTCAACTTCTGTGATCTAAAAATCAATAGGGGGTCACAGGGTTTCATAGAATTGCTCTGCTTTTTCTTCCAACATAATTTAATAATACATTTTACAGATGTTGTTTAAACATTAGGCACAGATTGTTTTGTCAATAAAGCTAAACAGAGGCATGACACAAAAGCACGGAAAACAGATGTAAAAAACAGTGCAAGAAGCACTGGGTCATTTGTTTGCTATTCAACTGCAAAATGAAAGTGCAGGGTGTATAGTGATTTTCCTGGCCTAGAAATCACCTAGGGATGGAACAACTTCACACACAAAAGATAATTTTATTAAGCAGGTAGTTTAACTTTTTCCCTTGAGGATTTCAGTGTAACCCACATTTAAGGTAGACTTCCTAATTGATCAATGGAGTAACAGGTG